TACAATCAGACTCTAAACAACAACAAGTGGGTAGAGGAGCGTGGACAAACTCAGATTGTTTTATTGCAGTCTCTGTTATCATAGAACTGAGCTTTATGCTGCATTCACACTGAATCAGGCAAACGGTTGACGGCAAAAAGGATGTCATTTTATTGGATGAGAGCAGGAAGGTAAACTTAGGTGAGGCCGGCAGAGAATACCGGCAACTGTGGACGCTATTGCAGTCCAAAGTTAAAATATTTGTATTTATTATTCTCTGTGACAGTATATTAAAACTGGATGTTACATAGCTCCCTCAAACAAGGAGAAAACACAGAAAATCTGAATATGACATCAACATCAGAGCTGCAGTCTTACACGCATCTCTGCGCTTCCACTAGAGCAGTTACCCAGCCAAAACCCCATAGAGACTGCGTCTGTCCCCAGACTACCTAAATTATTTAAAAAGATAAAAACCTAATAAAATTTAAAACTAACTCCACAGTAGCACAAAATTAAATAATAAAATGTGGACTATTAAACATCAGGTCTCTGTCTTCTAAAGCTGTTCTAGTGAATGAATTAATATCAGATTATGATATTGTGACCATATCCATCATCATCATATATTATAATAGATACTGTCTTACTGAGACCTGGCTGTGCAATGAAGAATATGTTAGCCTAAATGCTGTAGCTAAATTGATCATCTTGTTAATAGTGCTGCAGACTCACTGCGAACAACACTAGATTCTATTGCCCCTATAAAAAGGAAAATATTCAAACATAGGAGACTAGCATTGTGGTAAAACTACCAAACCTGCCAACTGAAGCAAAAAGCGCAGAAATCTGAAAGGAAATGGCGTTCCTCCAAACTATTGGAATCACGTTCAATCTGGCAAGATCGTGTTAAAACCTATAGAAAGGCCCTCCGTAATGCCAGAGGAGCCTATTATTCAGCACTAATAGAAGAAAATAAGAACAACCCTAGGTTCCTCTTCAGCACTGTAGCCAGGCTGACAGAGAGTCACAGCTCTATTGAGCCACGTACCACCATAATAACCCCTCAGTAGCAACGACTTTATGAGCTTCTTTTATGATAAAATTATTACTATTAGAGACAAAATCAATAACCAAATGCCCTCAACATGTATCGCTGTCCATCCAAAAACAGGAATTTTAACAAATGTAAAATCAGATGTACTTTTAGACTGCATTTATTTCTGCTATCAATCTGCATCAGTTAACTTCAATAATTTCTTCATCAAAGCCATCAACCTGTCTGTTAGACCCGATCCCAACTAGGCTGTTTAAAGAAGTTGTTCCCTTAATTGGCACTTCTTTACTGGATATGATCAATCTTTCTTTATTATCAGGATATGTACCACAGTCCTTTAAAGTAGCCGTAATTAAACCCCTTCTTAAAAATTCCACTCTTGACCCAGGGGTTTTAGCCAACTATAGACCGATTTCTAACCTCCCCTTCCTTTCTCAGATTCTCGAGACAGTAGTTGCCAAACAGTTGTGTGACTTTCTACATAACAATAGCTTATTTGAGGATTTTCAGTCAGGATTTAGACTAAAGTTAATAATGACCTTTATAATTGCTTCAGACAATGGACTTGTCTCTGTACTTGTATTATTTGATCATTTGACACCATTGACCATAATATTCTTTTACAGAGACTTGAGCGTCTAATTGGCATTAAAGGAACCGCGCTAGGCTGGTTTCCACAAGGTTCTGTGCTTGGACCAATTCTATTCACCCTTATGTATGCTTCCCTTAGGCAAAGTTATTAGGAATCACTCCATTAACTTTCACTGTTATGCAGATGATACCCAGTTATATCTATCAATCAAGCCTGATGAAATTAATCAATTATTTAAATTACAAGAATGTCTTGAGGACATAAAAACCTGGATGCCCTGCAATTTTCTGATGTTAAACTCTGAACAGAAGTTCTTGTACTTGGCCCAAAACACCTCCGAAACTCACTGTCTGAAGATATAGTTACTCTAGATGGTATTACCTTGGCCTCCAGCACCACTGTCAAAATTCAGACACATCCTGTTACAGACGGATGCAGAAAAACTAGTTCATGCATTTGTTACTTCAAGGCTGGATTACTGCAACTCCTTATTATCAGGCTGCTCCAATAAGTCCATTAAGACGCTCCAATTAATTCAGAATGCTGCAGCACGAGTACTGAAAGGAACTAGAAAAAGAGAGCATATCTCTCCTGTACTAGCTTCTCTGCACTGGCTCCCTGTAAAATTTGGAATAGAATTTAAAATCCTCCTCCTCACTTACAAAGCTCTATATGGTCAAGCCCCTTCATATCTTAAAGAGCTCATAGTACCCTATTACCCCACTAGAACACTATGTTCTCTGAATGCTGGGCTATTTGTGGTTCCTATAGTCTCTAAAAGTAGAACAGGAGCCAGAGCCTTCAGTAACCAAGCTCCTCTCCTGTGGAACCAGCTTCCAGTTGTGGTTCGGGAGGCAGACACCCTCACCACATTTAAGAGTAGGCTTAAGACATTCCTCTTTGATGAAGCTTATAGTTAGGGCTGGATCAGGTGAGTCCTGAACCATCCCTTAGTTATGCTGCTATAGGCCTAGACTATCGGGGGATTTCCCATGATGCACTGAGCTCCTCTTTTCCTCTCTCTTTCTGCACTCATTCATGTCCCATTAATGCATGTTGCTAACTTCACTTCTTCCCCGGAGTTCTTGTGCTTTCTCGTCTCGCGGGTTCTCATGGATAAATAAAAAAATCAAATCATTCAGTTTAACATGAGAATTTATAATGCAAAGGAAGCCAAAGATATACAGATTATCTCTGCAGTTAATCTGTAAGAGCACTGAGGCAGGACGTCATACAGAGGGTGCAGAGAAAGCAACACATTGAGACAGCGTTATTTAACACAGTCACTGAACAGGATAAAAAAAAGCAGAAGATTAAATATGAGTGTGGTACATAAATAAATAGTCTGCTGTGCTTGTTTGCTTAACTGTCTGTGGTCAGGTTGCTGCAGAGTGTGGATAGAGAAATGCAGAACTCTGAGGCGTGGGAAACTATTGTGATATGAAGATAACACAAACAGACTTATTTAAGAGAGAAAATTACTACTAACTTTAAAAAAAAGACCCTTAATTCTGGCTGATGTACAAGCTGATAATCTTCTGTGTATCACTTTACCATTAAAATCACTTAAAGGTTCCCGCCTGCCTGGTTGTCTGCATTTGGGTTCTTTTCCTTGATACCTTTTATACAGCCTGTGACAGTTTGTTTATTGTAGTCAAAGCAACAGTAGACACACTTATAGCAGCACAACAAGCTGTAAACACAACATGGACGCATTGTCTACTTATAGAATTGATATGGGGTTTGTGAACAGTTGCTTATTTACACATCCAGCACACATCTATCAGAGAGCTAAAAGCTCTATTCATTTCACTCTAATGCACAAACACTGGCTAAAGTTGAGTTTGGAGGAACGATGTAGGAAGTTGAATTTGATTTTTAGATTATTTAGAGGATTTAAAGGAGGATTTAGAGCTCTTTAAAGGTGAACAATACCTCAGTTTATAAAGTTTATCATGAATATTAGCAGACTACTGAATGTCTGCTGTTTCAGGGATCACAAAAATGTACAGCAAAAATCTAATCTTGTTCTGTACCAAAAACTCACCTCTTATTTTCTTTAGTGTGCTAACTGCTAACTTCATATCAGTGTAGATGTACAGTACCTTGTACAGAGAGAAGGAAGACGACAAATCCACTCGCTGCTGCTGTTAAACTCATAGCTGCTCCTCACGTCTCTGTTCAATCAGCAGGTCGATCACATACACGAGAGATACTGTATGTCAGTTAGTCACAAAAAACATTTCTACACGATAAAAGGAGGATGTCTTTTTTCTGTGTTCAGTTGTGTTTCACAGATATAGAGGTGTTGAAAGCTGACCGGGCTTCCTTCCTCTTTCTTATTAATGGGCATTAAAACAAATTCTTACTGCTGTTTTTCAAATGACACTTTAACATTAAAAAAATTTAGTTCATGGAAATGGATCAACTGTCCGACCAACTTTGCCATCCTTAAAGCCATGAGGGTTTAGGGATGGCTAGCATGCATAAAAACAGGAACATATCAGTGAAGTGAACACTCAGTGTAACACTGGTCCAAAGGCGAGGAACCACACAGCAACGGTTCAATCAGCCCTTGATTTTAATGAGATTGGATTCAATTAAAAAGCCTAAACCAGACCTTCATCAGTCTGTGTGAGATAGACAGAGACAGAGCAGGAAAGAGGAAGTGAGGTCACACACACACACACACACACACACACACAGACAGAGCAGCACAGTGTCTCTCCTCTCACACTGTGTGCATACAGGTGGGTGTGAGACAGAGTTGCTATGGTTACGGGGATGCTCTCTGTGTCTCTGTGTCACATTCACAATCAGAGTTTGTAAGTAGGCTGTGTCTACCCAAAATCCTGAATGTAACTGTACATTGAAGCTGAAATCTAGTTATATAACTTCATTTTTACACTTCTGGTTAAAGGACCAGTGTGTAGGATTTAGTTGCATCTAGTAGTGAAGTGGTAGATTACACTCCCTTCGTCTCACCCTCCCGTCATGAAGGAGAAACCATACTGGCTTTGAAACTTGTGAAATGAAGGATAAGGCCAGAGCCAGTGTTTGATTTGTCCATTCTGGGCTACTGTGGAAAAGTGGCGATTCAACATGGCAAACTTAAAGTGGACCCACTCCCTTTGTAGAAAAGAAAACTCTCATTCTAAGGTAATGAAAATACAACAATTCTTATTTTCAGGTGATTACACACCAATGAAATCATACCTGTGAATATTATATTCCATTTCTACCAATAGATCCTCTTCAGTGTTACACACTGGACCTTTAACATTATACAGGGTTGCCAACAGGGTGTGTATTACCAGTGCAAAAGTTTATTACATTAAGTTTTATTGACAGACAAATAATGTGTGAAAAAAGTCAGAGCAAACAAACTGATTTACATTTTATTTGTGTTCATTACTGATAAATACAAACTTTATTCTGGATAATAAACACAAAAAGAGTTTGTTTAAAGCTAAAATCTCAAACTTTGTGCACACTGTCGCCCTCTGCAGCAGCGAGAGGGAACTGAAATGATGTTCAAACTACAGAGTTGTTGTGGAAGCTGGATGTTTATTTCAATCAGCCACTGCAATACATTGAAAATGTTCCAGCTAACAAAGTGAGATAGAGCTGGGCTTATGTTTGATTTCAATGTATTTAAATGTATTCTGTACATGTTGTGAAATATTGTGCTTCCGGTTCAACGTGTCTGTTTGAACAGAGTTTATTGGCTTTCTCTGCCAGGACAGGTGACATGTGACAGGACAATCAGTATTTATTAAAAGCAGTTTATCACATTAAAACTTAGAATAGCATTTTGCAATCATTAGCATATGTAATGTAGGTGCACAGGTAAAAATAAAGCTTGCCCTCTCCTCAGATCTTCTGCTCCATGCTGCTGCTGACTGCCTGTGCTGCTGACTCCTACCTGCTGCTGCGACTGAAAACTCAACATGAAAACTTTTGGAGTTGAAGGTAAATGTATCCACTTCCCCCACATCCTCCACAGCCTCGCTCTCCGCTGGACTACTTCAGTGTTGTACTTGTCTCTGTCTCCATCCAGGTGAGTCCCCTCTGGTTTGACTGCATCTGAAGAAAATCACATCAAGTTCTGTTGAGTTATTTCTCAGAAATGGAACTAGGAAGTTGTTTAAGTTTGTTTCCATTCAGCAGACTCCAACCTGACGGACCTTCACACCAGGTGTTCCTGCTCCTCTGTGTCTTCTGTCTGTGCTGCAGTGACGCTGTTCGAGGCGGAGACGTTGATATAATCAGAAACAGACTGCAGCTGATGGGAGACACAACAAGATGAGAGTCAAAGTCCTCAGAAATGGAATTTGGATACAAACTCATTTGATATTAAAATGTCCTCTTTGGTACAAACGACATCTGCAGTAAATGTGGCTGGAAAATGTAAATACACATTGGTGGTTTCTGATAAGAGAGATGCTACTAATCAAGTTATATGTAATGAGTGCCTCTGAATCTATAATCCAACAATTCAATTCAATTCAATTCAATTTTATTTGTATAGCGCCAATTCATAACAGAAGTTATCTCAGGACACTTTTCAAATAGAGCAGGTCTAGACCGAACTCTTTAAAACATTAATTACAGAGACCCAACAGTACCACCATGAGCAAGCACTTGAAGACGAGAAAGCACAAGAACTCCGGGGAAGAAGTGAAGTTAGTAACATGCATTAATGGAACATGAATGAGTGCAGAAAGAGAGAGGAAGGGAGGAGCTCAGTGCACCATGGGAAATCCCCTGATAGTCTAGGCCTATAGCAGCATAACTAAGGGATGGTTCAGGACTCACCTGATCCAGCCCTAACTATAAGCTTTATCAAAGAGGAATGTCTTAAGCCTACTCTTGAATGTGGTGAGGGTGTCTGCCTCCTGAACAGCAACTGGAAGCTGGTTCCACAGGAGAGGAGCTTGGTAACTGAAGGCTCTGGCTCCTGTTCTACTTTTAGAGACTATAGGAACCACAAGTAGCCCAGCATTCAGAGAACGTAGTGTTCTAGTGGGGTAATAGGGTACTATGAGCTCTTTAAGATATGAAGGGGCCTGACCGTGAAGAGCTTTATAGGTGAGGAGGAGGATTTTAAATTCTATTCTACATTTTACAGGGAGCCAATGCAGAGAAGCCAGTACAGGAGAGATGTGATCTCTTTTTCTAGTTCCTGTCAGTACTCGTGCTGCAGCGTTCTGAATTAATTGGAGCGTTTTAATGAACTTATTGGAGCAACCTGATAATAAAGAGTTGCAGTAATCCAGCCTTGAAGTAACAAATGCATGGATTAGTTTTTCTGCATCTGTCTGTGATAGGATGTGTCTAATTTTTCTAATATTACGTAAATGAAAGAAGGCAGTCCTAGAGGTCTGCTTTATGTGGGAGTTAAATGACAAATCCTGATCAAAGATAACTCCAAGATTCCTGACAGTGGTGCTAGAGGCCAAGTTAATGCCATCTAGAGTAACTATATCTTTAGACAGTGAGTCTCTAAGGTTTTTGGGGCCAAGAAGAAAGTTTTTTCTGAGTTTAACATCAGAAAATTGCAGGTCATCCAGGATTTTATGTCCTTAAGACATGTTTGTAATTTAGATAATTGATTAATTTCATTGGGCTTGATTGATAGATATAACTGCGTATCATCTGCATAACAGTGAAAGTTAATGGAGTGATTCCTAATAATGTTGCCTAAAGGGAGCATATATAAAGTAAATAGTATTGGTCCAAGTACAGAACCTTGTGGAACTCCATGACTAACTGTAGAAATTATTGAAGATTCATCGTTAACATGTACAAACTGAGAACGATCTGATAAATATGACTTAAACCAGCTTAGTGCAGTTCCTTTAATGCCAATTTGATGCTCAAGTCTCTCTAAAAGAATATTATGGTCAATGATGTCAAATGCAGCACTAAGATCTAATAATACAAGAACAGAGACAAGTCCATTGTCAGAAGCAGTCAGAAGGTCATTATTAACTTTAACCAGAGCTGTCTCTGTGCTATGATGAACTCTAAATCCTGACTGAAAATCCTCAAATAAACTATTGTTATGTAGAAATTCACACAACTCTTTGGCAACTACTTTCTCCAGAATCTTAGAGAGGAAGGGGAGGTTAGAGATTGGTCTATAGTTGGCTAAAACCCCTGGGTCAAGAGTGGACTTTTTAAGAAGGGGTTTAATTACAGCTACTTTAAAGGACTGTGGTACATATCCTGATAATAAAGAAAGATTAATCATATCCAGTAAAGAAGTGCCAATTAAGGGAACAACTTCTTTAAGCAGCCTAGTTGGGATCGGGTCTAATAGACAGGTTGATGGCTTCGATGAAGAAATGATTGAAGTTAACTGATGAAGATCGATAGCAGAAAAACAGTCTAAATATATATCTAAGTTTACATTGACAGAAGTCCCTGAACTTGGAGAGCCACTGATAACTGTTGATGGCAGTTGGTGATTAATTTTTTCTCTAATAGTAATAATTTTATTATAGAAGAAGCTCATGAAGTCATTGCTACTTAAGTTTATGGGGATATGTGGCTCAATAGAGCTGTGGCTCTCTGTCAGCCTGGCTACAGTGCTGAAGAGGAACCTAGGGTTATTCTTATTTTCTTCTATTAGTGCTGAGTAATAGGCTCCTCTGGCATTACGGAGGGCCTTTCTATAAATTTTAAGATTATCTTGCCAATTTGAGCGATATTCTGATAATTTGGAAGAGCGCCATTTCCTTTCAGATTTCCTAGCTATTTGTTTTAACTGGCGGGTTTGGTGGTTATACCAAGGTGCTAGTCTCCTATGTTTTAATAATCGACAAGATTATCAATTTCAGATGGACTAAAGTCGTTATAGGACTCTGTTAAATTCAGACATGGCATTGAATTAAACACTGAAGGAATCTCCTCCTTATATTTAGCTACAGCACTGTCAGATAGACATCTGCTGTAGGAAGTTTTGCCTAATGGCTTATAATCTAATAGTATGAATTCAAAAGTTATTAAATAATGGTCAGATAGGAAAGGATTATGTGGGAAGACTATTAAATGTTCAATATCAATGCCATATGAAAGAACAAGGTCAAGAGTGTGATTAAAACAATGAGTTGGTTTATTTACACTCTGACAGAAGCCAATTGAGTCTATTAATGATATAAATGCGTTACTAAGGCTGTCATTGTCAACATCCACATGAATATTAAAATAAAAACTCTGAGAATTCAGATATAAAATCAGAGTACGGTCCTGGAGCGCGGTACACTATAACAAATAGAACTGGCTGCAGTGTTTTCCAGTTTGGGTGAGAAAGACTAAGAACAAGACTTTCAAATGAATTATGGCCACTCCACCTCCTCGGCCTGTGCCTCGAGGAATGTGAGTATTAATATGATGGGGGGGGGGATTCATTTAGGCTAACATACTCCTCATGGGACAACCAGGTCTCAGTAAGACAAAGTAAATCAATATCATAATCTGATATTAATTCATTCACTAAAACAGCTTCAGAGGACAGAGACCTGATATTTAACAGCCCACATTTCATTCTTTTATTTTGTGCTACTGAGGAGTTGGTTTTAATTTTTATTAGATTTTTATGTTTAACTCCTCTTGTTTTTATTTCTTTAAATAATTTAGGTGGTCGGGGGACAGACACAGTCTCTATGGGGTTTTGGGTGGGTGACTGTTCTGAAGAAAGAGCAGAGAAGTGTGTAAGACAGCAGCTCTGCTTCCTGGTCCTAACTCTGGACTGTCAGGTCCAGATGACAACCCTTTGGTAGAGTAAGTTCTGTCACTGTGGCCCAATATCTCTCTCACCTCCATAGTCTCTGTGGGTTCATTTGGTTCAGTGCTGGAGCTCAGAGTTTTCTTCTTCCTGAATTCAATCCAAAAACAAAAATACAAAGTTGAAGAGAAAGCTTCTAAACTGTGACAATAAACATTCAATCAGTGATGTTTTCAGTGATTTAACTGATTCATTTTAGTTTCACCTCATCCACAGACAAAACAGAAGCAGAGGAATCGGCATCACAACCACCAGAGTAAACCTGATGATATTTATCATCACTGTTGAGTTCCCTAGAAATGGAGACAGACAGTTATTAGATATACTGTACTGGACCTCACTAGTAGGGTTTGATTCATGAATCACTTTACCAGGTGATAGTGTCTGTTAATCAGTCAGTTATTGTCATGGAGAAACTCACCTGCTACAACAATCAGATGTAAGATGGAGTTATGACGTCCTCTTGCATTCTGGGCTTCACAGTAATAATTCCCACTGTGTTCAGGTCTGAAGTCAGTGATGATGAAGATCTTTTCTGATGCTTTTGGTGAGTCTTCATCCTCCTTGTACCAGGTATAATTAGCTGCTGGGTTAGCATCACTGCTACAGGTCAGAGTCACTGTACTGTTGTCCACTATCTCACCAGAGGGACTCACTGACACAGAGGGAACCCTCGGAGCATCTGGAGGAGAACATAGAAAAACAAAGTTTTTTTAACTTTTGAATGCCACCGACTGGGAGGCACACCAAAGACAATCATTATAATGCAAAACGCAAAAAGAAGTCTGAATGTATCTTCTGCCCTGTTTACTAAAGCTCCACTTTCTAACATGAAGCTGTGCTGCTGGCTCTAAACATGGAGGCTATTTGTGGCCTTTACTGAAACAGTATTAACATCACTAACAGTGTCAGAATGAACAAGAAGTATTTGCTCAGTAAATTACTCCTAACTCATAAAAGCTGTTAAGTTTGGAACAATTAAGATATTTAAAAGAAATCACAGAACAGTAAGGATGTCTACATTTCACAACACAAAAATGCCTGCCAATGCAAGAGTATTATGAATGCAATTTAAGACGTCCTTTACGTTCATACTGGCAATAAATAGCACAAAGCATAAGGAGAATTGTTATTGGTTCCATCTTAGTTTTATTTTGTAGTTCTTAAAGCTTTTCAATACAACTTTTCCCCAAAATGTCATTTTAAAGTGACTAAAATATGTAACTTTATACAAGTAACGTTAACTTATTTAATCTAATCAATTGTTAAGAGCTGTGAAAATCATATTCAAGAC